ATGTATCTTTTTATCAAGCACACAAGACTTCTTAAAGCCAGGTCCTTTTTTCAGTATTTTATATTTTAGGTCATGAACACAAATTCTTATTTAACAGGGATTATATTCCTTCATAATTGATTGTAATTCTGATTTTTCAACATTTTACTGGCAACATTTTTATATATTTGAGGCTGATTTGTTTCAACTATAACATGGAGCTGAAAAATGGAGCCAACGCAGGAGTGGTTCCTCTAATGGCCTCTTGAGGGTGACTCTGGAAGCCAGTTAAGCCCCAGAGACGAGGGAGGCACCGATTTATCAGCTGGACATCAGTATCAGCGGCCAGTCGCCAAATAAGATGACATTCACTGGTGGCAGTGGCCGATGTTTTTCCAAGCTAACGGCCTCAAACCTAAATTAATGTGCAGGTACATGAAGAATACAAAAACTGTTTGGCAGATGGGCTCTGTGACCTCGAGATGGCGAGGAGCAGCTGGTGTCCCGTCAAAATGTGTTAGTGACAAACAGATATCTTCCTCTTCAGGACAAAATGACGCAGTAAACTCACTATGATCTGATAATACATCATTGTGAGCAACGATTAAGTGAAATCAGCAGCAGGAGAGCTAGGTAACGTTAGCTGTTAGCTCTGAGCAGTCACTGGCTGCAACTACCAGCTCACAGAGGTTACACTGAGTTACATCATGATGTGTTCAAGCTCTAGTCAGTAAAAATGAGTATCAGGCGAAGGTAAATTATAACGCTCTCATGATGTCTGAAGTTGTTTGAAGGAGAAATGTATTCATGTTTCACAGCAATATAAAATAGATTAGAGAGGGGATCACGACATATTCTATAAAATAAAAAGACCTCTAAGCAATTGTTTTTCAAGATATGTTAAAATGTCCAACTTAACAGTAGAAATTAACCTGTTTACAGCCTGGTACAACAAACAGTTTTGGTCTTTGTGACAACTGTACGGAGCTGAGATTTAATACTTCTCACCTGTCTACATTTTATTAAGGATTAAAGTTAGACATATTTAAGGGTGGTGCTGCTTTGACTGACAGACTGTCTGCGAGATGTCGCTACAGTCTGAGTCAGATCCACACCTCGCTCCTCCACAGCTCCACCCTCTCGTCCAAATATGGTCACTTCTGGCTCCAAAAAACATGCTGGCAACGGCTGAAATGCCGAACTCAAGGCTTCCCAAACTTGAGTCCACAAATCAATAAGTGATGTCATGATGGCTGTGTTCATTATTTATACAGTCTATGATTTCTGCTCTTGTTTATAGCTATTGATACTCATTTAATTTCCAGTGAAGTTCAGTGTCAGATTAACTCTTATATTAACTGTTGAATTGAAACATTTAAAAGGGAAATGTTTGTTTGAATTGTGTGTTCACATTAAGAGACAAACTTTGGCCGAAATAAACAAAATATCTCCATCAGCCTCAAATAATCCACTGTTACTAAATTAAAACAGAAACATAAAGCTGTTCCCTGACGTTATGAAGTGAAGCTGGCAGCATGCTGTGATTTTGCAACAAACCAACCAACCTGTGTGTGTTCTGCAAAGAAGTCTGTCTCCTTCTTCTCAGGAGCTGCAGGAGCGCTTCCTGCAGAGGAGTCGATCCACAGCTGCAACAGGGAGAGGAGGAGTGTGTTATTCTGAGAGACAGGTCTGTTCACTATCTTCACACAGGAGGTTTCATATTTTGACTCTTATTTACAGACGTTACGCACACACCCCCTGGACTCTGAACTACGTCTGCCAACACGGCTCAGACACTGATAGTCACTTTACCACTCTTATGTAAAATGTCAATGATCCACAGGACACCGGCTCAGGTCTGTAGCTGTGACTGAGTGACGGAGAGTTGTACCTGAGAGGTCCAGAGACAAATGATTCAACCACTTAATCAGGCTGTGTGGAGCTATTAGCATACAGAGCGCAGGAGCAGAGGTCAGAGCACTGTTAGCAAACTGAGAGACATAACAGCTGTAAATATTAGTAATTAGTAAGTCGTGACTTTGTTCTCTGCTGAGATTAAAGAAGTGTTCCACTGCTAGAAATACAGTCTCTTCACAAACCTGGGCTGTCTCTGCAGCGGAAAGACGCAAATATTTTTGGAATTGTTGCTTCACGACCAGAGAAAACAGATGAAAAGAACTGTGGCATTCACTTTTGCTCAAGAGGTAGAAAACCTACAACTACCAGAATGCACTGGACCAATAAACTCTCCCACTGGTTGATGACATAATGCAAGTGCACGTTGGGTGGGGCTGGCTCATCAGAAAACAATATGGCGGCCAGATGGTAACGTACAATCTGGTATTATAGTTAAATGATAAGCTGCAATGTTTCTGAAAACATCTGAGGCAGGAAACAGGAACTCAGCAACTGAATCTTGTTAATATTCGCTCAGCACTGCTAAAAAGTTACAATACATGCCGCGATGTTTACAGGTGTTTTTTGAAATGAAATTATGGGGGCAAGTGAAACTCACAAAATCAGTTGTGCTGCTGTCTCAGATTTGGAGCCTGTTATTAGCCTTTATTATTATCTCAGAGAACTAGAAGACTGTATGAAAGTGAGCTGGTTAAAAACCAGCAAAGTATCCCTTAAACTCTGGTTTGTTCTGTCAGATGACGTGAACTTCCACGAGTTAAAACCTGGCTGTACTGACATAACTGATGGTTATGATATTCTGATGCATTACATCTTTATTGACAGAGCCAGTGAGTCTGCTGCTGCTGACTGCATCAATGCAGAAACTATGACTCACTCATAAGACTCATTCCCAAAACTCTTTCCACTTAATTGATACTCACATCTGTGCCATATTTGGACAACGCAGCATTTGCCTGCTGCCGAATCTTCTCCCTGTACATCTGGGCTGCACGACTATTATACTTAGCGTTGGTGTCGTTTGTGGAGCAGCCATGCTGGCGGAAGAACGCCGTCTTCAGACAGAAGGAGAACAGGAGTTATTACATCACATTAAAACCCCAAAGCATCCACCCAAATACTACCAGCCAATGACACTGCCTAGAGTACATGAAAGATGTTGTTTTCAGGCCTGATCTCAGTCTGACTTACCGCGTTGGCATTGCCTCCAACCTGCATACATCTGAGCTGAAACCAGTTCCAGTTGGAGTCTAACTCGGTGGACCTGAGGCACAACGTGAAGAACAAGGATAAGTCAGCACTCCAGGTACACCTGACCATGACCCTACAGGTCACTGAGTGTCTGTGAACTCTGACTCATTCATAATCTGCAGTCAAAAGACTAAACTATTCGCTACGCAGCAATTAAAGTGTCATTCCCGCCTCTCTTTCAGACAGCTCAGCTATGTACTGAAACTGTCAGAGAGGTATGCGGTGTGATGGTGACTGCTGAAAGCTATGATCATCGTTAACAGTGAGGCTTACCTGATGAAGCTGAGATGCACTCCCAGGGAGCGGTGGATGCCAGAGCAGTCAATGCATAAGAACACACCATATGGAATACTCGCCCAGCTCGGGTTTTTAGCTGCGCAGTCAAAACATACCTGCACAGAGAGAGCGTGTACATTTCATCAGCTTGTATGACTGCAGCAAATCTAACAAGGTCTCCAATAAGCACCCATCACCTGAATGTTAGCTACGCTGTGGAGAGTTGTTTGTCACACGGCGTGATGATGATGTGGTGGACCCGAAACCTGTAACTTGTGACTTCACAGTGCAGTATGTGTTTCCATTACATGATGTTGTTTAAGGTTCAGTACACTGTAGTTACAGTAAAGTCAGGCTGATGTTTTAACACCTTTACATATCTGACATCAACCCACTGTCAAACTATAATTATAGGCCACAGCGGCGCCAGCTATGACATTACATGATGTCTCGATTATAGATGTTGACATTTCTACAGGTGTAAAATGCAACGTCTCGCCAAAAGAGAAGTAAAGGCTAATGTTTCTGATTGTGAGGAGCTGTTCAGATGATACACCAAATACAGCAATAAAGGGATCCATCTTTATATGGACTCCTAGCACCTTTGTTGACATCATTAAAGAAGTCAGTCTAAAGTTTCTGTTGTCTGGAGGAAAAGAAGAACATATGGCTGAAATTACAAGAAGACACATATCTTCTGTCACATTGGTCCAAAATATTAGGATTTATTTCAGATGTGCTGAATAGACTGTGTGTCATACTTTGATTGGTAGAACCTGCAGCCTGGCACAAATATATGTTTTTACACACTTTAAATACTCAGCACATTTTGCACATACCGTATTTTAAAATGTTTTACATACTAGTATTTACACTAGGGCTGCCACTAACGATTATTTTCATTGTCAACTAATCTGTCGATTATTTCTTCGATTAGTCGACTAATCATTTCATCGAAAAATGTGTTAAAATGTTGAAAAATGTCGGTCTGTCTCGCCCAAACCCCAAAATTACGTCATCTAATGTCTTGTTTCATACTCACGCCAAAGGGTTTTAGTTCACTGTCACGGGAGAGTGTGTAAAGCTGCCAATATCTGAATGTAAGAAGCTGTAGTAAGAGTATTTTGGGGTACTTTTATAGTACTTTTCTATGAAAAATGACTCAAACCGATTAGTCGACTACTAAAATAGTCACTGATTATTTTAACAGTCGACTAGTCATTGATTAGTCGACTAATCGTGGCAGCCCTAATTTACACTGTAGCATACTGCACCTATTTTATTTTAGATTTTAACATACATACACTTCTTACTTTTACTGCTATAATCCTCTACTGTCAGGAACCACAACTCCCCCGCAGGGATAAATACCATATTTCTGTTTCTGAGGTACAGTCAGGGTCACAACGGTAAGAGACTTCCACAGAACAGAACTGTCTCAGAGATATTGTGGTTTCACAGTATTAATTATTAGTCAGACGGAGCCTTAAAGAAATGAAAACAGAAGGTTAAACAAATGTTTCATTACTGTAATTAAAACCTGAGACCATTTTAAAAATGGAGGTTATGTGTAAGAAGTTTCCCCTTTGACTATTACTAAAATAAAGATGAGACTTTCCTTCCAGTTGCAATGCTTTCCCAATATCGTGGATGAGCACACGGCGTACCTTGAAACTGGTACATCACTGCAAACCTAGTGCCAGTGTACTGACTCAGAGCAGCTGAGTACAGGTTGATGGTCACATGAATGGTGCGCCACGGGAGAACATATATTTAACATATGTTGCACATACTGTAAATATTTATCATATATTTATTTATAATGTTTTTATGGGGGTTGTACATTGTAGTGTTACACATATATCTTTTGTATTTTTAACTTTACATACTAGTTTAACACATTGTATCGTACCATATGGCACATATTCTTATATTTCTAAGTTTACATACCAGTTTAATACATTGTACTGTAGCATAAGGCATCAATTTTTATATTTTTACACACTTCACATATTCAGCACATTACACATATGGTGTACTTTTAAATATTCTACATACTAGTATTTACATTGAAGCATTAAACACTTTTTTTATATATATATTTCTAACTTGACATACTAGTTTTATACATTGTACTGTAGCATGAAGTATATCTTTAAAGTTTTACACACTTTACATACGCAGCACATTTTACATGTTATACATATCAAATATTACTTAGAGGTGTCAACACTGGAGCATATATTTCATTTTTACATGCTTTGTTATTATACTTCTTATTTCTACTTCTAACATTCTCTACGCAATAAAGTATTTCTGATTCTGAAGTATATTATTTACCTCTGAGATGGAAAGAAGAATAATGTAGGATCAAATGGAAATACTCAATCAAGTACAAGTAACTGTTACAGTACTTTATTAAATGTACTGAGTCATTTAATATGCGCTTTCGTTGGAGCCAGCTCTGTTAAACATGTCAAATCAACTCGACAGTAAATGAATATTACACTGAACATATGTTCAGTTATCATGTACCAACTGTACATCAGACACTGTTAGCGTTAGCGACATATGCTTCAACACTGTCAGACGTTACGACTTCGAATTACAACGTTAACATCGTCACTAAACTGCGCGTCTTATTCTCGGTAACCGCATATTTACAGTTTTATTTTAGCTCCTTCACTCTTTCATTTCTGAGACGCAGTGTAGCTCGGACTGTTAGCTTCCTTCCTCCGCGAACACAAACCGTATACGTGGCCTTTATGTTAGACTCATTTACCGGCAGGCTAGCAGCTGTTAGCTCCCGTTAGCGGTCTCATCGTGTAGCCGGGCCTACCGTTAGCTACACAGTTAGCTTCCTGCTAGGAAACAGTTAGCTGAGGCAGCTCACCGGATCACACCGGACAGACAAACCGCCAACACGAGCCACACACACACACAGACACACACAGACGCATCAACACCGGCGGCGGCTCTGTCCGTTACCTTGTTCGTCGGTACGGATCTTAATCTCTTGAAAATGGTCAGGATCTCAGTCTTATTTGGTTCCGTAGCCATCTTACCACTCTGACAATTTCTACAAGCTGACGTCACTACGGATCCTCGAGTGCCCCAAATCTAACATAAGCGAAGGGATGTTGACGCAGACAAACGGAAACCCCTCCGGGACTGGTGACTGGTGCGCAGCCCTTAAATAATTTATTGTGTTTATTTACATATCTATAAAATCTATTTTCACTCATGTACAGTCACGTCCAGTTAAATCCCATAAACCAACACTCAGTGTCTGCCAGTTTGACCAATCAGCACTAAGTCCTTAATAGGATGAGACAGTAAGATCAGTTAGAGTACTACATACTTTGTGTATTATACATATGCTAGTCCAGACCCACTGAGTGCACAGGTGCCCACGTACAGTTTCACATGGTGTGTGTTTGGGATACAGGTCATAGGAAACTGCAGATTAAATAGTCAACTGAGCCCATTAAGAAGAGCAATGTATTCAGACAGAGTGTTTGTGAGTGCCACCCAGTTGCCAATTAGAGTTCAATTTCTCCAGTCACCTTGAGGCGTCCTGTTCTACATATCTACCAAGTTTAGTAAAAATCCATATGGCGGTTAGGCCTAGATAAGAAATGAGCTCTCTAGCGCCCCCATTTTGTTTGATGGGGTCAATAATGGAGGGGTCCCCTCAGATTATGTGTGGTCATATGCCTACAAAGTTGCGTGGTGATGGGTGAAACCCTTGAGATGTTATACACCTTTATGTGATGAGCCACGCCCTCCGCAATATTCATTGCCTTATAGAAGCTCAGTTTTAGTAAGTTTTCCAACTTTTGCCAAGAGGGAACTTTAGATATTGGTCCCTAGATTATGTTCACCCAGTTTCATGCAGATCGCTCAAACTTCCTAGGAAGAGATCCATTTGAAGTGTTTTTCAAAAAATTCAAAATGGAAATGGAAAATCTATATAAGCGGAAGTTATGGGTTCTTGAGGCAAATGTGTTCCTCATGAGGAGAGGCATCTCTGTGCAAAGTTTCATGTCTCTACCACATACGGGGCATGAGATATGCCCATTCAAAGTTTGACATTTCAATGGGTTGCTATAGCGCCCCCCTTTGGCCAATTGATGTAATATTGCTTCATTGGCATCCTCCCATGACCCTCTACCACTGTGCCAAATTTCACATGGATTGACCAAGTCAGTGAGGAGAAAAACGTGGAACACACACACACATAGTTTTCGTCATAGTAAGATATTTTTTACATTTATACATTTTTAAGACATTTTTCTTTCGAAGGTAATAAGAACTTTTTTTTCTTGGACATTTAATATTTATCATTGGAAACATTCCACATTCACAAGAGGAGATGGGTGGACTCCAATGCAACAATATGGCATCAAAAATAAGAGGCCTTAAGGAAAGAAGCAATTGAAATTAATTTTGTGTTTGATCATTTTTTATGGACGTTTATAGCTACATTTAATTATTTAGTTTGTTATATTTAATCATTGTTTTATGTTTTTCAATTTTCTTAAATTAAGTAATTTATTTATCTAATATTTTGACTTTGCCTCTGTGTCATCAGGACTGTGTTGGTGTGGTTTGATTAGACTTGATTGACAGTAACATTTCCCCTTCAGGCAACAGTTGAGCTCAGCTGTCATCACAGCTCACCAAATCTGTCACGTTGAACCGACAAAAACTCCTTCATAGATAATATTTTGTTTCTGTGGGAACACGTCCCCCCTATAGACAGACAGAGAGAACAGATTCTCAGGTTCTTCAAGAGAATTCACAGAAATCAATACATTACATTAAATTAATACATGTTATTTTTGTCCCGTCTTCAGCAACCAGTGGAGGCATCATTTACTCAAATGCAATTCTTTAGGTAAAATGGTAAAGGCAAAAAAGGTAAAAGGTAAAATTCTGATAATATATTTCTATATCAGTGATAATATGAATGCATATCGACAGTTTAACTGATTTGGGTCTCTCGTCCTGCATAACACTTAAACCTCATAATACTTTCAGTACATTTTGCTGATAATAGATCCGTGTCATTTGTGAGGAAACATTTTAAATGTACAGAGCATTTTTACAGTGTGTGTGTGTGTGTGTGTGTGTGTGTGTGTGTGTGTGTGTGTGTTGGTGTAATGTGCCTTCACTGCACGGGCTGTAAACTGTACAAGGCACATGTTGGAGACAGGATGAGTAGCTGCGATATGTTTCTGTACATGTGACTTTCTGACAGGTGCCGTCACTGTCATGGCTTTGACTGGGTTTTGTTTTTGTTATTCTAAGTGTGTGACAGCATTATGAAAGGATCCCTACAGAGACAGAGCTTTGTGTTAAAGAGTCAGATCCTTTTTGTTTAACCAGAAACAGCCCTGAAATCACCATCACCAAACCCACCAGACTCCATTTAAATGAACAGTCATGTTAGTGTGTATAGAGGCAGCATGTTGTCACATCTAACTGGTGCATTAAGGGTTAATTTAAACCAAACCAGAGCTGGTGACTGTTGGAACAGTGGAAGAATGACGTGAGTTTAACGATGATAAAATGATGTTTATTTAAATGGAGTCTGGTGGGTTTGGTGACAGTGATTTCAGGGCTGTTTCTGGTTAAACAAAAAGGATCTTACTCTTTTTTTTTAATAAGATTTTATTTAGATTTTCTATTATAATCACTTTTCACCATCTTAACAAAAACCCCAAGACAAAACAAAAGTAAAACAAACAAAAGAAACAACAACAACAAAGAACAGACAACAATACCAAACATACAAGTTCAGCATCTGTATCTCTCTCACGTTAAACTCCAAAACACTCATTTCGACTGTAACCAGTAATCATACCCAACGTGTCACTGCTGTCCACCTGACCCTCTGTAACAGAACAGAACAGAACCTCAATTCATTTTTCCTCTTTTCTTCAGGTGCTTCACACTCATACAGTCTCTCCCCATATGTTTTCAAACTGAGCTAATTTGTTCTTTTCCCAGGTTTGTTGTTTTCTCCATATTCAAATAATAGCACGTTTCTTTTTTCCAACGAATGAGTGTAGGAGGGTGAGTGGATCTCTGATCCTGGAGTCAAAGTTTCTTTAATACAACTGAAGAAAAAAGAGCAATCCATACCTCACAGTGTCATGTAACATGTCTTGTAATATACAGATTGAGAGACTAAAGTTAAACTTTACACCCAATATATCTCAGAATCAGAATCAGAATATCTTTATTGTCATTGCACAAGTCCAACCAAAATGAGGTAGAGCTCAGTGCTATTTGACAAACAGCAAATGAGAACAAACAAGATAAACAACAGGCACAATGTAAGTTCAATAAATACAAAAGAAAAAGTTTAAAACTGTAAAAAAAAAAAACTATGCTATGTAAGGCTGTACACACACACACACACACACACACATACACAAACACACACACACGATAGATATTACACAACAGGATTTATTGCACCAGCTAGCAGAAGAATTAAATGTTCAAGTTATTTCAGGTTTGTGCATAGTTCAGTGCGATGACAGTTCTGGGGTAGAAGCTGCTTTTCAGTCTATTAGTTTTTGATTTGATTGTCCTGTAACGTCTCCCTGAGGGTAACAGACGGTGACCAGGGTGGGAACGGTCTCTGAGGATGCTTTGGGCTCTCCTGAGGCAGTGGGTGTTGTAAATGTCCTCCAGAGAGGGCAGAGGGCATCCAGTGAGTTTCTGGGCGGTGTTGATGACCCTCTGGTGCACTTTCCTCTCAGCAGCAGTGCAGCTAGCGTACCACAGCGTGATACCGTAGCTCAGCACCGACTGAATGGAGCAGTTGTAGAATGACACCAACAGTTGTTTTTCTGATAACCAATGTTCTAATTCAAAGCAAACTCTCTGAATTTTACAACATTCCCAAAGTGCATGGAACAGTGAGTCTGTTGTTCCGCATGTAAAAGAATTTCCTGATTTGTTTCCAGCGTTTTTATTCACTTTGTCTCTTGTGCAATAAGTTCCATTCTATATTACGATATTAAGATATCTTATATTGGATCAAACGGAAATTTTCATTTGTTGTTGTATCTCTGGTTAAATTCCAGCGATCACTCCATCTTAAGTCAGTGTCAGTTCTCTTTATATCTAAATTCCACAGCTGTATTCTAAGTTGCAGCAAAGCAGGAACTGAACATGACTCCTGCAAGATCTTGTAGACGTTACCTGTTGACTTCTGATCAGTTTCTGAGTCAAATATTAATGATTCTAAGTTGCTCTCCTGTTTAATGACTGTGAATCAAAGGTGAGTTGCAGATACTTTTTACTCTTTAACACAAAGCTCCATCTCTGTAGGGATCCTTTCATCATGTTGTCAGACACTTAGAATAACAACCTGAGCCTGTCAGTGACAGAAACAAACACTATTAGTGGACGGACACTGACAGCACAAAATTGTCCGTTGCAGCCTGTTTTCACTGCTGCTGGCTGCAGCGCTCTCTCTCAGCACTGGACCAGTTTCAAACTGTTGTTCCCATCAGTCACTGAGACACAGAAACATGAAAAAATAGAGTTCAGGTGGAAAATACTTTGACTATCCTCGTCCTAAACTGAAAGCTGATCCGACTCTGATAAAGTTCATCACAAACAAATGTAAACCTATCTCATAATAAGATCTCAACAATGCCTGCTGCTTTTTAAAATAGCGTCAGCAGTTGTTGTGGATCCGGTTGGTCCTGTTGGGTGAATTCTTCAGGAGCCGCCTCTCACATCTGTAAGACTGAAACTGACTGAACAAGCGTCTGTAGCAGCAGATGTACTTGAGACATCATGGAGGCAGGTGCAGTCGCCCTGCTGCTCTTCGCACTGTTGGGGAGTTCAGCGACTCTCAGCTTTTATGGAGACAGCATCACCTTCATGCCTCCACACAGGAATAATGATGGGACGTATGGGGTGAGCCATGTTTATCATCTTCTTCAGATGTTTATGAATGTTTTATCAAAGAGAGCAGCAACATTGGAAGCACGCCAGACAACTGACAGTTAACCAGTGTGATACGTTCACTGGACCAACAAGGATTTAACTCATTTTTATTTCAGAATCAAGTTAC